TGTGACCCCGGTTGGGTCGTCTAGCTGGTAGAAGTGGAGGATAGGGGCCAGAGGGGCAGACGACAGAATCCAACGATGGGAGAAAAAAAAAAAAACACACACAATTAAGGCACCGGGTTATCCGCGCCATCTCTGCCGCGTCTCTCTACAAAACCATAGCTAAATAGGGTTCGTAGGACCAAAGTTGTTGAATTTACGTTGCCAAAGAAAGGCTGTGTATGCTGTCCAATACACAGGCTGCTGTGCTGATGATGTTGTCGCACGCGAATTGAATTCGCCGGCTTCCCACGCCATGCTCTTGAGAGCCGTATGCTTCCGGATGTATGTGTGCGCGTGTTTTCGGTGCTGGTTGGTGCGTTTACCCTTTGATTTTTTCTTTAGGTGGGTGTGGGAAGCGTCCTCCTTGATTTTCGTTTTTGTTTTATTTGGATCGGTTTCCGAGGGCTCTTTTCTCGAACGAACGGTCGGTGCGGTACCTAATATTTTCTTTTGATGTTTTTTTTATCATGTGGTTTTCTTTTTTCCCGAGTGGTCTGTACCCTATTTATTTTTGTTTTGTTTCCCCGCGGTGTCGTATGTATGTGCCGGGTTTTGAGACCACGGGCTCCCCATTTTTTGTGGACTATAGAGCTAATAATTAATGTGAGAAACAACAACAACAACAACAACAACAACAACAACAACAACAACAACATTGCGTCCGTGGGAAAATGTCCAAGTCAGGAGTACAAGTGCACAGCCAAGGAGATTCGAACCAGTATCCTGCTGCTTACGCCACATACACACATACATGCGAAGGTGTACCGACTCAGGTAAAAAAAGTCAATCCACGTGTGTTTTTATTATTAGCATCGACCGCGCTAACCGGCTGACCAATGAAAAGACGTCAGTCTTAGTGCGGTTGAAAACACAAACACTTCTATCTACCATGAACTGGGACCCCGTGAGGGGGCAGCATGGGGGAGGCTAAACTATCCTTCGGATTAAAAACAGAAACACCAGCAACAGACGAAAAATGCACGCGTCTACCAAGGCTATTACCTAGTACTCGAGTTCGTTTATTTAGGAGTACTTTCACCAGTGTCCTCCTTGTTTTCACTTCCATCATTCTGATCCTCATTTCGACAAGAAGAATCTCTGGGCAGTTCTTCCCTACCCCTACGTTGTTTCTTGTCGTGGGGAAGGTCATCTGGCTCAAACCCTTTCTTTGCTCTCTTCCACTCCTCCATGTTTTCCTGCTCCATCGTCGTCTTCATCCTCCTTTCTCCCCTTTCCCTTTCCTTCGTCTTCGTCACTCCCAAAAGAATTACTCTCACCACTATCGTTGTCGCAGAGATCCCAACCGATTGGCCTTGCAGCTCGATCTTCGAGGGCGGATCCACGTGTGTGCTTTTATTATTAGTCACGTGTGTGCTTTTATTATTAGCATCGACCGCGCTAACCGGCTGACCACTGAAAAGACGTCAGTCTCAGTGCGGCGGGAAACACAAAATGTTTCTTCTATAGTCCACTATCTGGGACCCCAGGACCGAGCGTCGTAGGAGGAGCTGTGTGTGTGTTTTTATTATTAGCATCGACCGCGCTAACCGGCTGACCAATGAAAAGACGTCAGTCTTAGTGCGGTTGAAAACACAAAACACTTCTATNGGGAGCTACGCTATTCTCAGGATTAAAGACAGATACCGTAGTAATAACAGAAGAAAATTGTACGTGTCTACTAAGACTGTCACCCTGCACTCGACTTCGTTTAGGAGTGCTCTCTCTTATCATTCTTCTTGCTTTCACCACTACTACCATCACTATTCTCATCGTCATTTTGGCAGCAACTTTTTGGCAGCTCTTCTTCTTGTCTGTCTCTCCGTCTTTTGTTGTGCGGGAGGTCCTCTGGCTCGAAGCTCTTGCTCTCTTCCACGCCATGATTCCCTTCTCGACTGCTGTCTTGGTCTCTGTCTTGTCCTCCTCTTGTTCCCTCTGTTCCTCCTCCTTCATCGTTGCCACTCGAATTTCCCTCATCGCCATCATGATGATCGTTTTCGTTTGTACTACTATCGAAATCCCAACCTATTGGCCGGGGTGGAAATTGAT